GGGAGGAGAGGGAGAAATGGAATCCAGGGTGACAACTGGATTTAGGCTTGTGAATCTGGGTGCATAATGGTTCATCATTGAGAAAAAAAAGAGTAGATGTTGGTTCATGTCCTGGCTCATGGTTTTTTGCTTTTTGTTTTTGTTTTTTCCAACTTGACATAGGTCAGAGTTATTTGGAAAGAGGAACCTCAATGAGGAATTGCCTCCATCTCATTGCCTGTAGGCAAACTTTAGGGCATTTTCTTGATTAATGATTGTTAGGCGACACTGGGTTTACACTGCCCCTGGGCAAGGGGTCATGGGTCATAAAAAGCAAGGCAAAGGCAACAAGATGCTGTGCAGTGCCTTTCCACCTTCTGTGCTCCGGTTCCTGCTTTGAGTTCCCTGGATGAGGGACTGTGACCCAAGAGTTGTAAGCTGGAATCAACCCTTTTCTCAGCAAGTTGCGTTTGGTTATGTTGTTTTATCGAGGCTCTAGAAACCTAAGTCAGTTCATTAAAATACTACTGTAATTAAGTGGAATTAAGATGAGCTACAGATGAAAATTAAGCACACGAAAGTAGAATCATGCTGTGCTGCATAGTGGGCAGACTTTCCCGGCCTTTACTGTCAATGAGCAGCTGCCTCCTGGGAAGCCTTTTTTTTTTTTTTTAATAAAGGCTTTTAATAAGGGCTGTCAACAGTAAACCCCAAATGTCTGAAATCTGAAGTGAAGAGAGATGTGCTAAGACAAGCTCTCTGAAAAGTGGAAGCCAAGGCTGGCTAGGAAAGCACCAGGGGAAGAGTTAAGCTCAATGGAAGATTCTCAGACTGCTTTATTTTTAAATTAAAGGAGGCTAAGTTAGCATTTGCCCATGATAAATGCTCATGTTCAGAGTAGCTTTACGAAAAACTGCATTTCCTTATCTCCTGTGCTTTACCGTGAGCAAAGCACCCTACTTGTAGTCTTTAAATTTTTGTTGAGGAGGATAACAAAGGGAGGTAAGGTATGGAACGGAGGAGGATAACAAAGGTAAGGTATGGAACGGAGTTCAGTAATACACGTGACCCAGTCAGCTTATGGCATACACAGTGGATAGTTGTCAACTTCAGAGAAGGAAATGGTAGCAGGCGTCCTGGATCTAGGCTTTATGGAGTCTTGGTTTCAGAAAACCAAAGGAGTTCTAATGGATAACATCAGGCTCCCCAGAAAAGAGTGGCAAAAATCAGGAATCAGGGTGAGAAGAGACTGAAGGTCTCTTCTAGTGTGGGCATGAGGGGAGAGCTGGAGTAGATGTGTTAGGAGACAATGACTTTTGGAGGCTATGATTTATTACAGGCTTGAAGTCAAAGGTCCTAGGCTTGACTTCAGGGTGTACGTGGTACCAACTGTGCTGGGGAGGAACAGGAAATAGCATTGCTCTTTTGAAAATGCTCTGGAAATAAGGGACTCTCCTGATTGCTGGTGTTCTCTCTCCCTCTCCTTCCTTCAACCCCAGAATAGTTTGATTAAGAACAGTCAAGATCATTTATTCAAATTCTCAGAAGCCTGCAACTGAACCAGCTCATTTAGAAAGAACCATACAAAGCAGACAGAATAAATGTAGGGAAATGTCACAAGAAGGGGCTAGCATATATTTCTGGCAAATGTAATCATTTATTTTCTTTGTATAGTCCATAAAAGCAAACAGAAGAGAAATACTTTGACATAAATTCATATGTAGGGAAATTTATGCTTACTAAATACTTTTTTTCCTCAATTTTTTTTCACCTAAGGAAATCCCATTTGACCCCAGGTCAGCTATGTAAGATGGGCCACAGCTATCCATACTCATTTACTTTCAACCACCAGGTCCCTGCTCCAGGCTGGCTCTTCCTCCAGCACTCCAAGGCACAGCTACCTCCACCAGTTTTCCTGGAATCTTAACTCTTTAGAGAAAATAAAAGTCTAGGAACTTTTATCCTGAAGTACTGCCCTCTCTATGTGAACATACTTAAGCGTGTGTTCTTTCCTTTTTATGAACAGACTCGAGGCAATTTTTAATCTATAATGAAGACCACAAGCGCTGCGTGGATGCTATAAGTGCCACCTCAGTTCAGACGGCAACTTGCAACCCGGAAGCCGAATCCCAGAAATTCCGCTGGGTGTCAGAGTCACAGGTCATGAGTGTCGCCTTCAAATTATGTTTGGGGGTGCCATCGAAAACTGACTGGGCCTCTGTCACCCTGTATGCCTGTGACTCAAAAACTGAACTTCAGAAATGGGAGTGTAAAAATGACACACTCTTTGGAATCAAAGGCATAGAGTTATATTTTAATTATGGCAACAGACAAGAAAAGAATATCAAGCTTTACAAAGGTTCCGGTTTGTGGAGCAGATGGAAGGTCTACGGAACCACAGATGACCTGTGCTCCAGGGGATATGAAGGTAAGAGGCTGAAGGTGATTCATCTTTTTGTCAGCTACCTCTTCGTCTCCTAGTTTAACACTGAAAGAGACAAACATGCCTTAGAATGGTATGTACAAGAAACAACTTCAAAATTATCCTATGTTCTGGACAGATATGATGGCCAATAGGTATGAGGAAATGTCTCCAATAACTGTTAGTTACTGGCAACTCACAGATAAACATTACTTTTGAATGTCTTGATATTAGTTATTTTGAAGCAAGACATTAGAGATTCCAGAAACATTTCATTGTGACCTTTGACCTGAAGCCTCCTGTTTGACATGATGAGATTGTCTCATTAACTCTAACCAGACTTTTCCTTACCTCAAGGGTAAGGTTGAGAACTCTGGAGAAATGATCCCAAGAATTTGATAATCATTCTGGATTATTCAAAGTGAAGAACTGGCTCATGAATTAGCAAACATATTTAGTCACTTGTCTTAAAAGGGGGTAGCATGAGCAGGGGACAGGCAGTTGATTCCTTGAGCTCTCGAGGAAGAAAATAAAATTGGAGTATTTAACATCCCTTTGTCTTGGTCAAATTTCACTCACTCAGAATCAGACACCAAAAGAAGATAATTCAAAAGAACCTGAAGCCTTTAACAAAGGCTGCTGTCTTGGGTCGGATGATTCTTCAGCCTCTTTTCTCATTTGGATACTGGGCTATTGTGAGACGTTATCTGGAACAGCTTCAAGGTCAGAGGAAGAGCAGGTCTTTGGGGCCGGGGAAACCTATTCCAAAATTACTTTGTTGCTGGGACTGCAGACAAGGGTTGGACTTAGGTTATCATAGTGCGACAGCCAGGAGCCCAGTTCCCTGTAAAAGGATTGTGTACTTTCTGTTCTCTGTCCTAAAGAGAAGAGGAGAGTAGAAATTGTAGTCAAGAGTGGAGTTCAGAGAAGTTATTTCCAGGCATTTATTGAACATGATAGAAACTTGTAAATCATAAGAGAGGCAACCCAAGCAACATTCCTTCCAGGGGAAACTCAATACAAAACTCAGAGGGCAGAGAGGGTCACTCAAACTTGACCCATGTTCCATTCTAAAAAGGGAACAATTGTCAAATTGAGGAATTAAATTCGAGGGTAATAGTGTTAGAGGTCATCTCATTGAACTCATTTATTTACTTTCTTCCCCACAGTAGTTGGGGTTAAACCTTAAGCTGCACACATTACGGGCATGTGCTCTCCTGATGAGTTATATTCTCAGTCATTTTAGATTTTACCTTTTATTTTGTGGCAGGGTCTCACTGGGTTGCTCAGGCTGGCCTTGAACACACTCTGTAACCCAAACAGCCACCATTAAACATGATGTCTTCTTGCCTCAGTCCTCTCAGTAGCTGGGATGACAGGCCTGCACCACCTGACTTGCCTTAGTGTACTGCTAAAGACAGTAGTAGGCCCCCCTCTTCCTGTTCTGCGGTTTACTTTGAGAGAAAAGTGCATAGTACTTAGGATAGCAACCATCACGGTTTAATGTGTTTAAGAAACATCTGGTAAGCTTGTTTAAATGTGTAGATTGCAGGCTTTACTTGCTACCCTCCCCCATTCAGATTCTTAATCAGTACACAAGGAAGACCCAAGAGTGTTTGAATTATTTTTTATGAAGAATCTGGTGATGGTTTTGAAGATGGCCCACACCTTGCCAACACATTGATGATCTTTCAATATTTAAAATAATACTGCAGAAGGGCATAGCCACTTGAAATGACTTTAATTTAAAAAATTAAATTATAAGTATGTGCATGCATGAGTGTGTGTGCGTGCGTGAGAGAGAGAGAGAGAGAGAGAATGAGTTTAAGTGTATTATCTGTCTTTAAGAGCACATCTGATCCAATGGCCATGAAGTGAAAGGCAGTTATGAGCTACCTAAGATGAGTTCATGAGTCCTCTGCAAGAACACTACCTGCTCTTAACTGCTGAACCATCTCTCCAACCCCAGAGTAACCATTTAATTAATTTAGTGCAATATTGATTAGAACTGAAGTCACTATCTTATTGGAGAACTGGTTGATAACAGTATCAGAATTGTAGACTTAGATGATTTTAAAGGAAAGTTTGAAGCTCTAAAGGGAACACTAATTGATGGCCTTTTCGTGCGTCTTTTATAAGGAGGGCAGGGTGGAGTTTGGCTCTTTGGATCTCTTCTGTACCCATTTCTTGAATAGCCTTCTCAAAGAGCCACAAGTATAGATCCAATAGGAGGCTGTGTTGTCTGACTTATTGAAGAGCACAACTGGTCCTGAGGTGGTCCCCATGACTCTCTCTGCAGGAAGGGGCAGGTAGCGTTGGCACTAAGACTTAGGCCAATTCTTACTGTTCTCAGCATGCTCCTTATGCAAACTTAAGATATGAGGATTAGCCCTGGGGCTGGTGAGATGGCTCAGTGTTGATGATACTTGCTGCCGAGCCTGATGACCTGAATTCAGTTCTTGCAGTCCACATGGTGGATGGAGAGACCCTACCTGCCAGGTCGCCTTCTCAGTTCCTCATCTGCTGCCTGACACATACCGCTCTGCCCGACTTTGCTAAATAAATTAAAAAAAAAGATGTGACCTTTCACATAGCAGAACTAAAGCTAGAATGGAGTTTTTAAATAAGTATAATGGGTACACAAAAAGGGAAACAAATAAAACCCAGTAAAGAAGTCGTTGGCATGGTCGTACGTGCCTGCCAGCTCAGCATTCAGGAAATCGAGACAAGATGAAAAAATGAGGCCATGGTAGGCTTAATAATGATTCTGTGCCTCAAAAATAAATATTTTTTTTCATAAATTCACAGAGAATAGTATTGACTACAAATACTGCCTTTAAGGGTTTTGAGTGGTTTCTTTTTAGGACATGCATTAGAGAAGTTTGCGGTTTCTACCCTATCCCCCACATCACAGTTGAGAGAGTAAGTAAGGGCTGACTGGCTCAGAAGTAGTTGCGGAGGATTTGAATATTGCCTGTGTGCTTGACTCCATGGATTTTTTGCATATGTGTATATATGTATGTATGGTATTCATGTTTACATGTGTGTAGATAAACATGTATATATGGATGTATGTGTACACACGTGTCAGAGGTTGACGTCTCGAATTTTCTTCTATCACTCTCTTGATCTTGAGTCAGAATCTCTTCTTTGAACCTGGAGCTCACTGACTGGTGAGTCTAGTTAGCCGGTTTGCTCTGGGGATTGCCCGCACTTCCTCACGAATCCAAACTCCCACCCTCACTTGCCACAAGCTTCATAGCTTTAAGGTTGTTTTCAATCTAAATAGTTCCCGAGACTATAATTCCATCCGAGAGGAAGAAGATAAGCATCAGCATTGCCTTGGAGGGAAGCTAGAAGTTAAAGCTTGTGTTACAAAAGCTTATTACCATTGTTTCCTTAGAGTAAGGAGGATAGTCCATTCCGAAAGCTTGTAGCAAAGGGGCGGTACTAGAGGTTCCTAAGTACCTGGTGCAAAGGGTGCCCAGCAAAAGACTCTATAGAAGCAGAGCAGGGAAAGGGTCCACAGAATAGGCAAGTCAGATCAGCTCTTTTAGGGTACATTGTAAAGTCAACATAGACACACACCACTCACATTCTAAATGCAAATCTCTATGTCCCTCCAGCCATGTACTCCTTACTGGGCAACGCAAATGGAGCCGTCTGTGCATTTCCGTTCAAGTTTGAAAACAAGTGGTACGCAGACTGCACCTCTGCAGGGCGGTCAGACGGATGGCTCTGGTGTGGAACCACCACTGACTACGACAAAGACAAGCTATATGGATTTTGTCCATTGCAATGTAAGTAACTGACTACAGTACACTTGGAACATTTAGCATGGCGACATGATGGTAGGATCTGGACTTTATGTAGCTCATGGTCCTCCAATTTCTTTTACACTTTTTCCAGAGTATCCCACTGTAACACATGACTCCCATTTTACCATGGAGAAAATGAACCTTTGTGGCTAAAGACCATCATTTGTATTTAGATCTTGGGAGAAAGACCATGCAGTATTTCCAATTGCTCCAACATCATTCCTTGCATGAAATAACTCCTGTATTTTTACTCTCTATCTACCTTTCTTTGTTCCTTGATTTATTTCTCTCTCTCTCTCTCTCTCTCTCTCTCTCTCTCTCTCTCTCTCTCTCTCTCCTCTCTCTCCTTCCTCCCCTCCCTATTTGCCCTCCCTTTCCCTCCCCATTTTCTGTTTGCTAGGAATCAAACCCAGCCTTGCACATGCTAAGCAAACACTCTACTATTGAGCTACATATCCTGGCCCTATCGGTTATTTGCTATGACTTTAGGGCAAATTATACTGTATATAGCATTATATATAGTCAGTGCCAGAGGTAGGTACCTCATTCTCCCAAACCCCAAGTGTTTTAGTTTTAAAAAGCCATAGGTTAAAACAGAAACTTAAATGATATCACAAAGGTGTTTGGTGGAGAATGTCTATGAAGGCTCTTGCGTTTTGCATCACCATGAGCTGGAGCTCCTTCCTGTACAGATGACATGGATCGAGGATGGAGGCTTGTGAATCTCAGGGAATTTGAGGACAGGGAGGTGGGAGTGGGTGGATGGGTGAAGGCACACCCTCATAGAAGCAGGAGGAGTGGGGATGGGATAGGAGGTCTGGGGGGGAAGATGAGGAAAGGGGATAAATAAATAAAAAAGAAAGGTGGAGTTCAACTGAGTTGGAAATCAAGGGAAGTGGGGTAGCCTATGCTTTTCAGTCCTTTGAAAAGAGAAGTTCAGAGTCACTAGAACATGTGAGACCAAATAAAGTAACAGAACCTGAATTCTTGTGGTTCTATCCATTAGTAACAATCTGTAAGAAAATATGTGGCAGCTGAGGGGGCTGGAGAGGGCAGCTTGGAGACAGAGCTAGGGCTGAGGGAGGAGGTTGAGGTCTTGGGTTAACTTCTGTTTCTCTTAACATACTTCCTGAAGTCAAGTACCCTTTCTAGGTTACTTACGGTCATCCACTCTCACACACACTGCTGGATTATCGCAGCATGTTTCCACACGTCACAGAAGACAGGTTTTCTGGTACCCCATGAAGGAACCTGGGCCAGAGAGCAGACTCCAGCATGGTTCAGAACTACTGTGGAATTATCTGAGTTACAATACTACTGTTTCCTACTTATCATTTTGTGACCACAGATCCACACATCAGGATGCTTACGATGCCAGTATTCTAAGACAGTAAGGCTAAGCAACATTTCTTAATGTCAGACTATAGCCAGACTTCTGAGAATTTTCCCTACTTGACCTTTTGGGTTTATAATTCCTATTCACCTTATTAAAAATAATCTTGAGTTCATGCTCTGTATGACACAGGCTTCAAGTCCATAATAATACCATGCTCTGGCCTTGACTGAGGTAGATGTATTTATAACAACATTTGAAGCTCACAGGCTTCAAGTCCATGATGGTACAATTCTCTGGCCTCAGTGGAGGTACATGAATTTACCTCTCATATCAATATTCAGAAATCTGAGTTTTCACTCAAGGTTTATAGATTTCTAATATTTTGAATGAGTTTTTTTTGTCTGAAAAAGTGAAGTTTAAAAAAAAAAGCACACTTATTTTTCAACTAGTGAAGAGTTAGTTGTCTTTACTTAGGAAAAGTGATATTTTCTAAATCGGTCACAGTTTTTCTTAGGAGTATGTGTTTCACGGGTCCGACTATAGTATTCTCCACTTACTGATATTGATATTGTTAGAGGCTTGTTGCATGGATGTGCAAGGGAGAAAGTGTGGAACACGAATGGGATGTCAGTAACACAAAGAAGGCCTTGTTGTCCTTGGGTATGTGTGGAAAGGGAGTCTCCAGTATATCCAGCACAATAATATTCTTGTTCTGTCTTGTTAATTCTGTGTATTCTGTGTAGCCAAATGATATTATTTTTTCCTGATAGAAAACATATGTAAAAGGCAAATATCTATAGAAGAGTTATTTTATTTCCATCTGCATACATTTTTAATTTTGCTTTGTGGACCATTTAAAGCAAAATTTTATTTTATATTATTTTATTATTTTATATTAGCTTTTAGCCCAATAGGATTGATACAGGGCAAAGAGGTATCAGTTACTGAGCTAGTGACACCAGGCGCCTTCCATCATTGTCCTTTGGGTTGTTTATTTTAATGCATTCTATTGAGACACTCATTTTCATGTATCATGAGAACAGGAAAAGGAAGAGACTCCTTGCTCCCAATTGTCCATAGCTTGCACCTTTGGCTTTTCCCATCAGCTTTCCTGGTTTACTGCTGGAAGCTGAGCTCTGGGGAACTGCATACTCACCATACTTGTATGTCCATTGAGAGATAAATTTCAACTCTTTGATCTAAACTCTAAGAGAAACTTTCTTTAAAAGAGAAGAGTTACTTCATCTTACCTTGGGATCATTACATCCTTTTGACTAGTCCCAAATAAGAAAATACCCTCCTTTAGTTAACAGCTACATCTTTGACCTTATTCTAAGCAAACCCCACCATTATAAAATAGTCTTTAGAATGTTTGCCTCTACATACAATGTAAGTCTCACTGGAAAATCTCATTTACACAAGCGTTAAATTTGTCAGACATCAGAGCATTCTAAGTTTTACATTAGTAATGAAATGTGTTTTGTAGGCATACTGTGATGTTTTAGCTGTTTTAGTGCTGGTCAGGAGGAGCTCAGTAGTCTAGTTCCTACTTACCTTCTGCAGAGGCCAGGGTTCCATCTTCATCATCATCATCAACAGCAACAAACTTTGGACATTTCTGTGCTTTGCCTTCATGTCTCTTTGATGTGTGGTGTTACTAAATGTCAAGTCACAGGAAGTGATATATATGTGTATCTGAAAACGTGGTGATTGTCACTTCCTCATTGGCCAGGAAACACAATTCCAGCCAGAGTTAAGAATTACGATGGCGTCCATTAGATGCTACAGACAACTTAGCAAGCTGAATGCTTTGTTATATAATGAAATTATCTAATTGTGAAAATGATGTAATTCCTTTTCTTTCTCTGGTAAAACAGATGAGAAGGTCATGCCTTCTTTCCCAGGGTCATAAGCACAATTTTGTTTTGTTAAAATAAGAAGAAAGTGATATAGAACATTTTGTTTGCTAGTGTCCAAACATCTTATATGTAAAAAGCTATAAATAGTAGTCATGTATCTGTAGGATTGGCTTTGTCTAGAGTCTACCAAGTTTTCAGTCATATAGCACAGAGTCAAGATAAGCTAAATGGCCATTTTTTAACTAAGAGAAGAAAGCCCAATAACTAACACATTCAATTGCTAAGACCTAGGCTACGTATGTCCTGGTGATGAGAAAATGAAGCTCTGAAGGTCACTTTACTGTCAGCCTGCCTGAAGAAACCTGTGAACTTCCCTCCTATGCCCTTCTTTCTTAAAAGAGCAAATGGGACCAGAGAACCCCTTGCCATGAGAAACCACTCCTTTATTTTCTCTCCCTTATCTATTTCATTCCCTGCTTCAGAACACTGGGCTGGTGTCCTGAGTTCTCTTCCTTGTGTCTACCCCATCATCTGGTTCAAATGTCTCAGCAGTGAACCAGGGAGAAGGTGTCTCTTTCTTTCCTTAGGCATGTAAAACATTGTAGATGAGGTTGGCTCCTGAGAAATCCACTTTTCATCTCAGCAGTGAAGAAAGGCTTTAAAATAAGGGACAGAAGCAGCAGATGTGATCATGGGAACTGGGTGGATTTTTAAAGTGTATTGTTTGTTCACTGGAAGCATCTCCCAAGTGTAACACAGCTAATTCATTGTCTTCTTTCTCAGTTGAGGGCAGCGAGAGGTTATGGAATAAAGATCCACTGACCGGCATTCTTTACCAGATAAACTCCAAGTCTGCTTTAACCTGGCATCAGGCAAGGGCAAGCTGCAAGCAGCAGAATGCTGACCTCCTGAGTGTCACAGAGATTCACGAGCAAATGTACCTTACAGGTAATGAATGACAGAGCTCACAATCGTAAGTACAGTCAGGTTACTGTGTTTCCATAGCATGTTACTTACAATAGATACTAAGAAGCATTATGAATGTCATGAAAAGGTTTGTCCCCAAGCAGATGGTATAGTTCATATAAGTAATTTGTGTTCAGAAAACAGCACCAGAAATGACAAGCAGCTGTCATTCCTTGAGTGAACTTTGTTCTATTAGTCGTGACTGTCTTTAGTGTCCGTGTTAAAAACAGTTCTGAGGACGGAACTGGGAAAAGAACAAAGGCAGCTACTGTTAGGGAATGGTGTGGATTTTTGGATCCAGCAGTAGCACCCATGTCTCACCGAATCCAAACATTTCTTGTTAGCATCAGAGAGGTCAAGGTGGTAAAAGGAAATGAACAATTGGGAGCAGAGACAAGTCAATAATTCCCATGCAAGCCTAAGTCCCCTTTGCTTTGTGCCTCTCCAACCCCCAGTTCTGTATATTTTCAGGTATTATTTCTACAATGTATTGTTTGGCTTTTCAAAACATCTGTTATCAAGTTGTAAACTAGTATTTGATTGAGAAAACAATATACATTTAATCTCTAATACTTAGTCCTGAGGGCTGGAGAGGTAGGCCAGTTGTTAGAAACTTGCCTAGCAGGCAAGAGGAAAGACCTGGGTTTGATTTCCAGCATCCTCTCCTACCTCTCTACTCACACAAGTTAACTTTCTGTCTTAAAAAAAAAACATCAACCACAGAAGCATAAAAGGGGCATGGTAATTATAACAATCATTTTTATGCCATGGTGATAAAATACCCTGGCCAATAGCAACTTAGGGAAGAAAGGGTTCATTTTGGCTTACAGTTCCTGAGGGGCAGAATCCATTATGACATGGGAGGTAGGGCAGCAGGTGCATGATGCTCACCTAGCAGGCAGGAAGCACAGAGATCACATTTGAGCTACATAGAAGAAGCAGAGAAAGAGAGAGAACAGGAAGTGAGGCTAGTTATAAAACTGCAAAGCCCGCCCCTCACTGACATACTTCCTTTAGTAATGTGCAACCAGTTAAAGGTTCCACAATCTTCCCAAACCATGTCACCAACTGGAGACCAAGTATTCCAATGAATAGACCTATGGGAGGGGGTACTTCTCTTTCCAACCACTGCAATGGTGCACACCTGTATTTCCAGCATGAAGGAAGTAGAGGCAGGGGGGCCAGAAGTTCAAGGTCATCCTCCAGTACATAGGCAGTTGCAGATCAGTCCGTGCTACAGGGTATCTGCCTCAAATATAAAACGAAACAGAAAGTCAACAAAAATCCACATTTGGGGAAGACAGTAAGGCCAAATATCAACAAACACATCTCTTCTTCCCCATTGTCAGAGCCTGCTTCCCTCAGTTTCCCTGGCATTACTGTTATCAGGTCTTGGACCTGTGGCTGCTGTTACAACATACTCATACTAACTTTTCATCAGAAACACCCTTACCTGGTTCCGGGATGCCATCTCTCCACTTAGAGCTCTCCTCTGCAGCATTTTGCCTCTTAACAGAGGTCTTTGGTTCCTCATGGATGGCATGGTTGTCTCATAGCGCTCTCTGCCACACTGCGTTTTAAACCTAGAATTTCCCAAACTCTACACAGTGAATATGGAATCCTCTCGATTTCTCTCATCCTCATATTAGCCTTTTATGACATATTTATTTACAGTTTGTATGTCTGCAGGTTTGCATACATATGTGTTCCTGTGCATGTAGAAAGCAGAGGTCATCCTTGGGTGATGTGCCCCAGAAGCCAGCCACTTTATTATTTAACTGAAATAATGGTTTTATTTATTCTTTCAAAATTTCATGCAACAGTTTGATCGTATTTATTCTCTTTCCCCAGTGTCTTGCAGATCTAGATTCTCTCCTACCTCCCTTCCCATCCAACTTGATATTCTCACTCAAAAATAAATAAATAAATAAATAAATAAATAAATAAAATCACTACCACAACAAAAACAAAACAAAACCTATGGCATCCAATTTTGTTGGTCAATAACTCTTGTGTGTGGGTCCTGCTCTGGACTCAGATCATCAACCTTGGCTGACATACTTCAGTAGCCAACCACCATTTTTCTTTTTGATAAGGCCTCTGTCTGGGACTGGGAGCTTCCTGTTCAGGCTAGTCTGACTGTCCACTGAGACCCAGGGATCCTTTTGTCTCTTGTCTCTCCAGCTCTGGGACTGTATGAATGCTCCACCACAAAAGACATTTTATGGGGCCCCTGGTGACCAAACTCAGTTCTTGTAACATAGCAATCACATTATTGATGAAATTATCCCCTCAGCTCTTCTTACTACCTATTTATATACTGGTTTGCACAAATTCCCCATCATCTACTTATAAACACTTTACATAAATAAAAACATTTGTTCCTTTACTTACTGAGCAGGCTATCTATCTGGATAACTTTGCAGTGGACATTCTGTTAGGATACCCAGGCTGACCCTGGCCTATTGAACACAGGACTTGAAGTCCTATAAGATATAAAGAAGGAACCCAACAAGGGACCAGACACAGTGATAGGAAGGAAGCACATAGGGAAAGCCAAATGAATACAATGTGGAGAGCCATCTCATGAGGTAAGCTGTTAGAGATGATGTTATGGTAGGTGTGCCTCCCACTCTAGGGAGATTCTCACTGGCCCTTCCAAGGAAGAGTGTCTCAATAGTTACTGAATGGCAAAAGATGAAAAAAATAAAAGTAATTATTTAGAAATTCACCCTAAAATTTGAACAATGGAACAATTATTTGATTGCAAGAAAACAGTGTAGTAGTCTCTCTCTCTCTCTCTCTCTCTCTCTCTCTCTCTCTCTCTCTCTCTCTCTGTGTGTGTGTGTGTGTGTGTGTGTGTGTGTGTGAAAGGACAGCCTGTTCCACTTGATTCTTCCCTTCTGCCATGTAGGTTTCAGAGATCAAACCCAGGTTCCTAAGCTTGGTGACAAGTGCTTTCTCCTGCAAATGCATCTTTCTGGCCTCAGCGTTATAGTTCTTAAAAGTAATGCCAGTTATTCATCATAGGCAGCATATTTTTGAGGTGGAGGTAGGGGGCTATCCAAGTCTTGATGAGTATCTAGCTTGGGAATCTGCATTTTGACTATATACCAAGTGATTTTTAGGTGTGGACAGCAACTCTACCAAACTAGACTCTGTGCCCTGGTGTCTGGTTTCCATAGTCAGATCAGCAGGGGAGTTAGCATGTCCATCAGGGCAGCAGGAGGTCCTGGAGGCTGGGGCTGAGTTCATTTCACATGTTTCTCTAAATCTTACTCAACTTCCAGAATGTAGTCAGCAGATTTCCAGTAGAATCTGGAAATGAGTGGCTTTTCCAGGGAGAGCCAGGGCACTTCCTGACTTTCTGTAAGTCTGAAATAGCATGCCACAAGGAAAGGTTATCTGACAGGAAATGAAAAAATCTTAAACAGAGGAAAGACATTCCTTTCTCAAGAAGAAAGATATTCACAGTATTCGATATCCTTTGGCTTTTGCTGGGGAGGAATCTAGGAACTAATGATGTGGCACATGGATATTTGTGCTATGTTCTGTTGTGAGAAATAGACATTCAAAATGAAAACAACTCATAATAGAAATAAAGTGTATCTTATTAAAGGAGTTTGGAAAGTGAACAGGATTTTAAAAATATGCATACACCAGAGCGATGACTCTGATGTTAAAGACTATTGTTAGTATGAGTGTGGTGGTTGACACCTGTCATCCCCATACTCAAAGGCCAAGGTGGGATAAGCTTGAGGCCAGGGCGGACTTCATAGGATGATTGCCATAGAAAACAGATTTGTTGACCTATACTGGATAGGGGCCATGTGCCATAAACTGGAATTTACTGCTTAAGCTTACATTAACCTTGCAAATAAATATTGTTATCTCACTTTAGAGAGGGCATGGCAGATCAATGAGTGAAAGCTGAGGTAGGTTGCTTCATGTTTTAAGTTCACAAAAAGGGCCGAATTGGAGTCCATCTCTGTCTTCAGTTTTACCTTGCCCGAGTCTAAATCAAAAAATAGCAGTAATCTGGCATGCCCAAAGCTCCGGGGAGAACCTTAATTCATTCATTAGAATCTCTTCTTGCCAGTAAATGTCTTCCTAATCTGTAGTGTGGTTTTGTACTATCCCCAGGGTGGCATGCTTCTACCTAGATGTTTATTTGCACATAGCCCACTGCCATAGTATCTTCTCCTCAGCTTCTCTCCAGAAACATGTATGTCAGGATGCTCTATTTAATCCTCAATTCCTGAACCTAATTCACAATTACATGTAATTTGAATGATCATTTACAGAACTTAAAGGGGCTGGGGGAAGTGAAATTTGGCCTGTTACCCTGGTGTGTGTGTGTGTGTGTGTGCATGCACATGTGTGTAAACCAATTTCCTTTCATGCAAACAAATGAGCTATGCACGTGGAAAGAAAAATCTAGATACCGGTATAATAATGGACAGACTTTATTATAACTAAGTTTAAAAGTAGACTTAAGTATGCATCATTATATAATTATTGTACAATGTATACACCAAAAATATCTTGTGGAATTGATAATTGATGCTCTATATAGCTAAAATAAAAATTCTTGGTCTGACCCTTTAGAAAATTACACACATGCAGGAGAGTGGGTGATGCCTACCTGAATTCAGTGATGCTTGCTTGCTTCCTTCCTTTCTTTTTTCTGTGCTGAGGATGGAAACTCACAGAAGCCAGACATTTATTTATTTATTTATTTATTTATTTATTTATTTATTTATATATATATGAATACATTGTAGCTGTCTTCAGACACACCAGAAGAGAGCATTGGATCCCATTACAGATGGTTGTGAGCCACCATGTATGCTGAGAATTTAACTCAGGACCTCTGGTAGAGTAGTCAGTGCCTTTAACTGCTGAGTCATCACTCCAGCCCTGAAGACAGACTTTTAAATGACACCCTTAGCACAAGATTTGAATTTTGTTTCCAAATCACACTATCACTAATATCAGTGTAGCATGTAGCCGCTAACTGTTGTGGGAATGACAGCCACCATGTGTGATCCCTGGGCATATTACTATCTTGAAGGCACAATTATAAAGTATCCATTTAGTTCTCAAGGTAAGCATAGAAGCTCCATGCAGCTTGCAGGTCCAGGTCCAGGATTTGGGATGCAGTGCGAGGCGAGGGTCTAGGGTCTGGAGCATAGAATTTAAGGTCGACAGAGGGTGGTTTCTTTAAACAGCTGCAGTCAACTTCTCATGATGCCAGATCTGGTGAAAAGTGTGATACAGAACACACTTTAATTCTTCATCCATCACTGAGTTTTTCACAGCTTTGAAAATCTTATGCATGTTGTTTGTTTGTTTTTAAGACAGAATCGTGTTATGTAGTACAGGTTGGCCTGGTACTTAACCTTAAGCTGGTCCCAAACACACAGCAACCTTCCTACTTCAGCCTAGAGTGCTGGGATTATAAGTATTTACTATTATGTTTAGCTCTTATGTCCTTAGTTGCTCATATATTTAAAGTGTCAGAGCACTTCTTGTAATAGCTGATTTAACATTCTAAAATGCTACTAAATTTCCAATTTGGAAATGGGGTCTTATTCTAAGGGAGTTTGTTGTTGTTGTTGTTGTTATTGTTGTTGTTGAGACAGAGTTTTTCTATGTAGTGCTGGCTATCCTGGAACTCACAGAGATCTGCCTGCCTCTGCCTCCTGAGTGCTGGGATTCAGGGTATATGCCACCATGCTTGCCTCAGCCTCTTCCTCTTCATTCTTTTTGGCTCAGCATCCTGAATGCTAAGGTTATAGACATGTGTCACCATGTTCAAGTTGGAATTGTACTTTAAAAGAACATTTTCTCTACTATATCCCCTGGAAATATAGGAGTGATCATTATTCAAGTTAGTATAACCTTATTCATGTTGGAATTTGTGAAAAAATCTAACAGTCAACAGTAATTGTTTTAATAGACAGGATAATATCTATCCAGGATTGATCTTTGGTTATTTCTTAGCACAGTCTAGAGATATATTTTCTCTTGCATTAAGAGTGAGACGACTTTTTTTTTTAAAGCTGATTTCTTCTTCCTAAAGGGATGATATATTATTCAAAATAATTTCAATAATATATTAAAAAGTTAAGTAAAAGGAGTTACCAGTAGGACAGAAAACTGTAAAATTGACATGACATAAATTTACCATCTACCTTAATAAAGAATATTTGATATTTATAACACAGATTTACGACTAAGTGAATCTCTCCCCTCTTGATGACATTTCTGGTCTTCAGATTTATTAGTTTGACTTCATGGATATGAGTATTTGCCTGCATGTATGTATGTGTACCACATATGTGACCAATGCCTATGGAGGTCACAAAAGGACATCAGCCCCCCTGGTACTGGAGTTACTGATGGTTGTGAACTACCAGGTGCATGCCGAGAGCTGAACCTTGGTCCTATGCCAGAGTATCAAATGCTGTTGTCCACTGTGCCATCTCTCTAGCCCATGGAAATTTAAGTTTAAAAGGGATTAAATCATAGGAAATACTCAGCTGAATCTTGGGCTCTGATTCTGACCTATATGACTACTATGTTAACTTTCAGTAAGGTATTTAACCTGTCCGACTTTGATTGTCCTAGCTGTTCCATGAAGGAACAGGACTAGATGCTTCCACAAATATAATGTACTTGAGAGTGCTGTGCTAGCTACTCAGCCCTTTTCTTCTAGAAAGCCTGATAAAGAATAAGCTGGGGCTGGAGTGATGGCCCAGCAGTATAGGACCACTGACCACATTTCTAGACGTAGGTTCAATTCTCAGCAACCATTTCGTAGTTTAAAACCAAATCTCCAGTTCTAGGGGACCCAGTGACTTTCTTCTGGTCTCTCTGGACACCAGACACCCATGTGCCCAGATATCATGCAGGCAAAATACCTGTACACATTAAAAATAAGTGGATTTTAATTATTTGCCATCGAAATGTACATATCAGTATTCAATTTTCTTTTTATTCAATTTCCTTACTATTTTTCTCATGTTGTTAGTTCATATTAAAATGTCATAATAAGAGCTGGGTTTGGTGGTACACATCTTTTACCCCAGTGCTTGACAGAGACAGGCAGATCTCTGTGACTTTGAGATCAGCTTTGTCTTCCTAGTGACTTCTGGGCAAGCCAGAGCTACATAGCATGGCACTGTCAGAAAGAAAACCAATCAATTTAAAAAACACCCAACTGGGTTAATTTTTCAGCACATGCTTCCAGTCCTGGGGACAGTTAAATAATAAAACTGAATAAATCTCTATTGAACTAATGAATATCAGCCTGACCGATACCCTCAGGTGAATCTTTCTTTGCAGTGCCTTTGTTAGATGAGAACAAGCCAAGGGCAAGGCACAGGGCATGATTCCCTAAGAAAGTACACTGTATTTGGAACTGGCGTGAATAGATGTAAAATTTGACCTTGACATTGCCATGGTGTCCAATTTCTAGAGATTTCAATAGAAGACACTAATGTGTGTATAAATAGGCTAATGGAAACCTAGCAACAATTTTAGTGGCTTCGATATACTTGAGTGACTTTTTTATTGAATCCTAACTATGGAATCTGAGAACCATTGTCATATGGACATTGGATAGAAGTTCAATTCCATCATAGTTTTTAAACTGTTTTTGTATATATAACTTACAGATAATTAAAAAGCTGTCATTTGACGGCCCCATATATTCACGTAATCCATTTTAGTCACTTTCATATATAGAATTCCTGCCTCTCATCACTGTCTGCTGGAGTGATTCTTCTCTTTTTAACAAGGCCCCCTCCTATCTCAAGTCTCCTTTTGTGTGTTTCGTACTGAGTTTAATTGGAATTTCTTGACTGAGCGTGGGTGGAAAGTTATTTCCTGGGGGTAAGGACAACTTACCAGTGGCTATATACCCATGAAGAAAATGATTCTTCTTCTCTGGAGCAACTGCTAATGGCCAATAGCCCCTCAAAGAAGGGTGTGGCCTCAGGATTCCCTCCCCTACCCATGATGGCATACTGTGGGCCCTGCTCTCCTGCAGATGACCACTGCTGCAGAGTCTTGAGCACAATGGCGGTGCATGTTCAGAACCATCTTTGTGCTGCATGTTTCCCCATCCTCTGGCTCTTGCATTCTTTCTGCCTCCTTTCCTGTGTTGTGTTTTTTTTTTTAGCCTTGGAAAACAATGGGCAAGTGCTTAATTGCTAACACATTTTATGGGGGAAAACGTTCCACTGATACCACTCAGCATCAACTGGGAAATTTGTTTTCTAACATATATAAAGATTAGGGTGGTTTTTTATAATTAAATAAATCAAAGCATATATTTAAAAATTGTTTCCCAGTCACTAAAACAATTTGGAGAGATTAGAAAATCCAGACTTTTGATTTGTTTTGAAAGATACAAACTGTAAGAGGTTAAAATATGTTAGCAGGTCTATGTGGCAGTTTTATTTTTATTCCATATTAGGCTTCGGTAGTCAAAACCACTGATTATTATTTATTATCTGCCTAAAGAAAACATTGCTTGTGTTGGAATAAATATAAAAACTTTTCAGTTTAATCACCATTTTAAAGTAGTAAAATTGACTTAAAACGTTTCATAAAATTTTCAAAATATGTTCTGAAATACAAAGTTGAAGTAATGAGTTATGAAAATGTCAGTCAAAATCTTTAGTAAAAATTTTCTGCTGTAGAGAAGCTTTGATTTTCTATAAAATAAATCTTATTTGTACTCTCAAGGGATGTAAGAGAGTCATTATTTCATGAGTTAATACCCTCATGTCCACGTAAGAAGCATGAGAGTACACAGCGGTTAAGGTGATGACATTTGTGTGGAATCCTGACCTAAAGCACTGCTAGCTTATCATAGCATTCTCTGCCTGCTAGTGGATGTCATGGTTCTACTTGTTGTAGATTATAAAGTTTTAGTGATATTAATCACATTTCCCTCACATTTAAGAAACAGATTTTATTTTTTATTGCCTCTATGTGTGTGTGTTTGTGTGTGTGTTTGTGTGTGCATGTATGCGTGCATGCGTGCATGCATGTATGTATGCATGTGCAAGTTCGTTTGAAGGCCAGAAGGCGTTGGATCCCATGGAGCAGAGTTAGAAATGGTTATGAGCCACCCAACATGAGTGCTGGGAACCTAACTAGGGTCCTCTGAAGGAGCAGAATGTGCTCTAACACATTTAATTCTGGATTTAATTTCACTGTCGTTTCTCAATGCCTATTTTATGTTTGTGTTGTTTTTTGCCCTATAGGATTAACCAGTTCCTTGAGCTCGGGACTCTGGATTGGACTCAACAGTCTGAGTGTAAGCACTGGTTGGCAGTGGGCTGGAGGAAGCCCATTCCGGTATCTAAACTGGCTACCAGGTAAGTTTAAGCCTGCCTGGTATTATTGGCTGAGTATAGTTCACTGAGATATCTTAAGGGTCTTCCTCATGTTGCATATAGATTTCAAAAAGACTCAATGGGACATAGCTTATTTCCCATCATGCTTTGAAATCTACAGCCTGGATTTGATTATCTAATGTGCAAGTTTACACAAGACCAGCTTTCTGGGGTAAGGACTTGTCTCCCAGGAGAATCATGACAGTCAACTCACTTCTGTTTGATGTCTACACTCTCTAAGTAGTTTGTTAAGGTTTTACACTCAAAAGCATATTTTGTAGCTATTCTCATGTATGATTAAAGATAATAGAAAATAGAATTAGTGTTAATATGTATTTTGTGTTGTATTAACTTTGTCATTGTCCTTGAAGCAACTGTTTTAAAGTTTAAGTGTTCTAACTTTTTGTATGACTGTTACCTTCTCTAAATTTTGGGATTCTCTTGTACTATCTGAATTTTAAAATTTTAGTTAAAATTCGCTTATATACTATATAAAAGCAAATATATATGTATATATATGTATATATTCATATATATTTCTGATATATGCAATGCTATATAGACATCAATGATCTAACACACTTGGGTAGATACTAAGGACAGAAACTAGGGCCTTGTGCATGTTAGAGAACCACTAAACTATGTTCTCAGCCCTCTATATACTTTTAATTTGAGACAGTCTCACTTCATTATACAGACTGGCCTTGAATTTACTCTACTCCAGGAAGACCTTGAACTTGGGAGCCTTCCTTCTCAGACTCCTGAGTAGCTGGGATTTCAGTCCTATGACATGAGGCCTAGCTGTGCACATATGTTCATATCTAGTAATATCTATAAATACACATTATGAATTTAGGAGAACTGAATATTCTGGGTTAGTGGTGAATTTCTCATTATCGTAGGTCATGAGATATTTTTAATATTACCATGATCTTAAAGTCTATGATAATACTGTTTCATGTTGTTTATAATATAATAGGGTTAAATTGAAATACTATCTCAACCACAAATTGTAAAATTATATACTAGCATTAACAATTTTATTGACAATATACAGTTTGATTATAAAAGAGAGATTCAGGGGGTACTGTTCAGCAGCTTCTGACTATCTGGAAGTTAGAAAAGTGATAACTTCCATCTTGATACACTTCTATGGTGTGTGTGTGGTGTGTGTGTGTGTCTGTGTGTGTGTGTGTGTCTCTGTGTGTGTGTGTCTCTGTGTGTGTGGTTTTATTCTTTCTTTGTTATCACTTCCTTTTGTTTCAACATACAAGGTTGACAGAACACAAAAAGGAGACTGATGGCTGTATATGAATTGTACATAGGAAACAGTTCTTCAGAGAAACATGAAGATCAGTTCTGAAATGTTTTCATCTGTTGAGTAGTAGGATGTTAACACCGGAGTGGTGTTAAGTGTGATTCAAGCCTCTCTAACTATAGCACACTACCGAGCTTGGCTTAGTGGAGCAGAGTAAAGTTAATGATTAGTGATTCCTGCTGTGGATCAGGAAAGGAGAAGTGTGTATTAATCATGTTTTATCAGCTTTGCTGCAGACACTGTTGAGATTGTGTTTGAAAAGTTGAGGCTTTCCCTTTCCCTCCTTCCCTTCCCCTTCCTCCTCTTCTCTCCATTACCCCACTCCCAGCCTAGTTTCCTTTATTGGCCAGGTTGTCTCAAGCAGTTGATCCTTCTGCCTTCTGAGTGTTAGGACCAGCCGTAAATATTCAGGGTTATGCCTTGTTTCACAATTTTTTTCCTACCTTCTTTTTTTTTTTTTGAGACATTAAATGTATTTTAAAACCATTTGGCTTATACAAGTTAAGCTTTCTGCTTCATATCTTGACTTTTACTTTTTAAGAAGAAAATTAGATAAAACAGTATTTTTAAAAGTGTTTAAACATGGGAGAGAATTTTAGAGAATCAACATATAGGGCAATGTGTTTACTTAAGTTGATTAGGCTTCAGGGACTATGACAAATCTCAAGGGCAGAACACTCATTTGACGTGCACAAAGTCCTGAGTCCAATGATCAATCCTGCAAAAATAATATGTTTGTACTGGCTATATTTCACCATGAAATTCCATTCAACATGTTCTCTCACTGTCTGATGAACATAGGGATGTTATGTGAATTGTTTTATACTAGAAATCATGACTGGTTAATCTATTTCTGAGCTATCCTCAACCCTATGGCTTGATTCTTGAAATGATAATCTGCCTTATTTTCTTCTGAAATACGTGAAGTAACTGTCAGTGCATGTGAAGATAGATGTCCTTCCATCATAAGTGATGGCATCATTTGTCTGCTGCCCTTGGGCTCAAGGGAAGTTAGAGAATCTCAGCTGGACGTAGACGCCTCAGACAATGCTAATCATATGGTAGGGGATGTCAGTTCATTCTTATTTTTAGTAGGTAAAAGAACTCCACTTCACGAAATAGACCATTTTCTCTACTATTCAGTTGTGTGCAAAGAGTTTAATATCCAACCCCTTGTGGTCTTAGATTTCACTGAAGAAATTTGGTGTTACCTTTGGAAAAGGCATAATAGGAAAGGGAAAAATGCTTTTCTGATTCCTAGAAAATAGGTTCAATACTAACGCATCTAAATTAGAATGTTTAAACTATTTCTGTTTAAGTTACTCAGTCAACTGTTTCAATTAAACATTTACTAAGTAATGCATCTGATAAAATATAATTGAATTTCAATTAGGAATACTTTATGTGAGTGATGAAGAAATATAAATTCAACTATCTAACAATCACGAGATTAGTAAAGACCTCTAACTGCTGTCTCAAGGTTGGAAGAGGTGTTGTATTGATAAATGAACATATAATTTGATTTACAAAAGAGCATAGTATTTAAGACCAGTGTGCATTATATTGTTTCTTGAAAGTTTTTTTCCACACTGATGCAGAATCTGTAAGCTTTACTATCCTTTTGTCTTGACCATTTTATCAACAGATTTTTAAAAACATCTTTATATGTATTTTTTTTATTTTTGTAGTATTTATACAACCTGGAAAATGTTTCTGTTAAAGACTTCCAAGGGCAGGTGGCATGATTTCCTTTTTATGGGGAGCGTGAAATTCCAGTGCATAACAAGCATGTCAGAAGTCACAAAATAGAATTATTGACAGAATGTGTGTAGCCGATTTGTCAGAGTTAGGCATGAGATGAAATTACTTTCTGGAACACTGGGGTTGAAATGATAGATCAGAGAGTGTAGAGATGGATGTATGAATCCATTGTAGTAGATAAATGCCTCATCTGAGGATGTAGGGATGGACACATGTATCCATAGCAGTAAATAAATGGCACATAGGAGGATGTAGGGATGGATCCATGTATCCGTTAGAGCAGACAGATGATACATCCGAGAATGTAGATGGATGCATGTATCCATTGCAGTAGACAAATGATACATCAGAGGATATAGTGATAGATGCATGCATCCATTGCAGCAGACAAATGGCACATCGGAGGATGTAGTGATAAACTGATGTATCCATAGACAAATACAGTTGTCAACCGAGTCTGGTTCTTTAACCAGCTTCCTGTAAGAAAAGGAAGAGATGGTTCCAAAAGCTTTTCTTCAATTATTTCAACTAAATGCACTAAGAATCTTAGTTCTGGGAGTGTGGCACATTGGTTTCTAGATCTCTTTCACTGTTTGTCCCTCCCATTGTCTTTTATTTTGATCACTCCTTTCTGACTGGGGAAAGTTAACAGAGGTCATCTGGCCTATCTGGACTATTTCTTTAGCTATCTTCAATTAGTTTTGGGGGTTGTTATTGACATTAATATGGCCAGCTTAGAGAAGCATGCATTACTTTTATTCAGTCATTCTACATGTGATATCATATATAGATACAGATATCATATATGATCACACAGTTGTTTAAAGTTTAAAGTCTAATGTTATCCATTGTTCTGGGTGGTTAATTCAAAGCACTCTACTGTTAACATTTTAAGCCTTGGAATAACCCAGCATCAAGAAACCAAATAGATACCCACCATGCCTTTTGCTCTGCACTCAGTAAATAATCATTTGTGAATGTGTAGCAAAAGACAGGATGGGGATCCATTAAATCCCAAGGATGCCAACGTGAGGTGTGGTGGTTGGTGGATGGAAGCCATCCACTTAGGAGAATGCAGTAGTCACAATTTAACTTTGTAATTTGCTTAAAGGAAGTCCATCATCAGAGCCTGGAAAGAGCTGTGTGTCACTAAACCCTGGAAAAAATGCCAAGTGGGAGAACCTGGAATGTGTTCAGAAGCTTGGCTACATTTGTAAAAAGGGCAACAATACTTTGAACCCATTTATCATTCCCTCAGGTAAGTGGATCTCTATGATCAAATGTGTAAAATATTAGAAATTAAAGATAAATAAAACTGTAATCAATCAAAATTGCATGAAATGATTCTAGGGAGATTCTAATTATTTATAGATTAATCAAATGGTATGTCTTCTAAAGCTCTTTTCTTTGGTCCTACTGTCTGCTGATGTTTTCTGAATAGAAAGAACTGTTTGAATATTGGGCAAAATTTTTTATATAAATAAGAGACTTATCTCTCTAGTCTTATAAAGTAGGTATTATTTTCACGTATTATAGAAGAAGAAAGAGACGTTCATAGGATATATAATTCCCGTCTACCTAAAAAAAACTGGAATTAAAATTAGGAAATAACTATCTGGAGAGAAAGACTTTATTCTGTGCACACAGATAAAGTTGGGTTCAATGTAGCATCTTGCATTGAAATCTTCACACAATGGAATAAATGATTCAAAAGAAAAACACAGTAACTAAACATTGTATATTCTACTGAACTCCAGTAGAATAGCAAATAAGTGGTTTTATAGTTCTATAAAAGAATTGAGCGGATAAGGCAGTCATAGATTGTCCTTTCAACGTATTGAAAGATAACCTTTATCTCATTACTACAATTTTTCTGGAGGCATGATTCATGCTTTACTTGGGTTTATTTATTTACTTTGTTTCTGCTTGGGAAACTTTATGGTCCATGTGATGGTTTGAATGAGAATGTCCCCTATAAGCTAAAATATTTGAATACTCAGTCCTGAACTGTTTGGGAAGGTGGAACTGTTTTGGAAGGATTGACCTTATTGGAACAGGTGTCACTGGGGATGGGGTTTGGGATTTCAGTAGGCTGGGGCCATTCCCAGGACCTCTCTATCTTTGCCTAATGGTTGTATCTGAAGATGTGAGCTCTCAACTCCTGCTCCAGCACCATGCCTACCTTCTTGCTGACATGATCCCCACGTATGTCATGGGCTCTAATCCTCTGAAACCATGAGCTTCAAATAAATGCTTTCTAATGACTAAGACCAACCATTTTTTACCTTTTCTCCCCTGACTCCTAGAAGCAGTTTCATTTATTTGTAAACATGATTGACCTGGTTACAAATTCAGAAGGCACCAAATTATCAATAATGATAATATTTTCCCCCTGCCTCTTTATTTTTTTGCCACCCAGAGCTGTTTATGAGAAGATCTTAGTTTCAGAGTGTTTATGTCCCTCGCTGTCTCTTCTGTGGTGTATAGGCAAATGCATTTACAGTGGTTTTTCCCTCTCATTTGTACAAATAGCAGCGTACATTTTTTTTTGTTCTTGTTCTTGTTTTTGTTGTTGTTGGGTTTTTTTTTTGAGACATAATTTCTCTGTATAATAGCTCTGGTTGTCCTGGACTTGATTTGTAGACCAAGCTGGCCTTGAACTCACAGTGATTCTCCTGCCTCTTCCTGCACCACCACCAGACTGCAGGATACTTTCTAGGTAGTCCTCATCCTAAGGTTTTGTTAGTCAGCAGTTTTGTACATCATTCTACTGGGTATGTAAATTGATTCTCCATACTCTTTGGGGGTTGGGGGAGCATTATATGGAAAGATCAGTCCTGTATTAACAGATTTTTTTTTAATTTTCTTCACTTGTGTGTTTATGTATATTTGTTTCAAGGTCAGCGTGTATCATCTCCTAGTCATTCTGTCTACCACCACCCCCTCCCCTTTGTTTTTGGAAACTAGGTATCTAATTGGCCCAGAACTTTCCAAGTTGGCAAGGCTGGCTAGTAAGCTTTAGGAATCTTCCCATTTCCACCTCCCAGTTCTGGAATTATAAGCACATGATTTTTATTTTAATATGCATTTTGAATTTTAAACTCTAGTACTTGTACTTAAAAAGACAGCACTTTCCTAACAGAGCTATCCCCCAGCCTTGAGTGTTAATTTGTGTCTAATCATTTGTGAAGCTGAATAATCTCACAGGCATGCCATTCTGCAGACATGATGTTCCTAGAAGTAGAATTCCTACATCTGAGAGTAGGTGTTTTTACAGTTTCACCAGGTAAGCTGTTGGATAGACATGGTGGAGGGTCCCAGTTTATGACCTGTGATGGATGTGGTTAGCTCCTGGTTAGTGATCACTGATGGATGTACATAAGGGCTCTGGTTCATGACCTTCGATTGATGTGGATGCCCCCTGGTTAGTGATTACTGATAGATTTGTATGGGGACTCTGGTATATTACCTGTGATGGATGTAAATTGGGTCCCTGGTTTATAATCTCTGATAGACATGGTAGAGGGCCCTGTTTTATGAACTCTTGTGGATATGGGTGGAGGCTCCTGGTTCATGGTCTCAGTTCTGTTTTATAGATTTTCTAGAGTCACTGTGGGTGAACCTGTGGAGACATCAATTGTGCTTGCAATTGGGTCTCTTGTATTGCTATTGCCGAAGGGATGGCTAAATCTTTCTTGGAAGAATTAATATAGTTCTCCTTCAGAGACCTGTAGTTGCTACTTTGGGGAAGTAGAGAAAAGTTATTTTTAAGTTTCTCTGGAATGAAAGGCACAATTCTATAATTCGGCCTTATTGCTTAATCCACCAGTTTTAAGTTCCTCATTTGTAAAATATGAATGTTGGTGACTCTTCTTCTTAGAAAATCTCATTTATATCATCCAACTTGGACTGTTAAATCCACAGCTGCCCCTGATTTGCATTTTCAGCTCCACTCAGCACTGGTCTTTGCATCATTACACTGACAGGATTTTTCTTCTGTATAGACAAACCCCTGTAAGTAGAGATTTAAATTTATAGTACTTTCTAGGTGTGATGGCACACAGCTTTCACCTCAGCACACAGGAGGCAGAGGCAGGTGAGTCTCTGAGTTCAAGGCTGGTCTGTTCTGCAGAGTAAGTTCCAACTTCCCTTCCTGGAGCCACTGCACATGTTAAAAAATTGTAGCATTCCCAATTGGTGGCCCCTCTTGACAAGAATCCAGTCTTAAATCCTTTAGTTCTGGCCATATTCCCTGTGTGTCCATAGTTCCCACATCTCCAGAGCTATAATACACAGCTTTAGAACTTTCCGGAATTTTGACTTTGCACAAAGAGGCTTTAGGTAGTCTCTGTTCTTAAAGAGAAACAGGATTCAAAGAATGACAAAGAGCCAGCTGTGAGAATGTGTACCTGTCATCTCAGCAGCTGAGAGGCTGAAGCAGGAAAAACAGGAGTTCAAGGACATCCTCACTTAGCTACTGCCTGAGACTCTGTCTTATCCTTCCTCCCACCCACATGAGAGGATGACCAAAGGGACCAGCATCAGGCACTAAGAGAAGCAGCACACTCGAGGTCACTTAATAAAATCTAGCTTAAATACATAAACTGATCCAGTATCACAGGTTATGTAAAATGGTGTTTGTAAAACATCAAAAAGAAGCTGCTATGTGTTGAATATAGTATCATTCTCTTTTCTAACCAATACTCAATGAACTTACTATGTGCCAGGGCCCATGCCAGATTCAAGGGCATCCTGGGATGAGAATGTCTCTAGATTCAGAGACTTTCACTGTAGCTCCCCATAGCTCATTACTAGTAAAGCTTTTGCAACATCTAATCAAGGTAATGACATTTGACCACAGCTTCTCATAGCAACAAGGAGGATGTTTAACACTGATTTATTTAAATAATAATGATTTTGTGTGGCTTGTCTTCTCTAAGTGCAGTGTCTCTGTTTTATTTCCTCATCCACAACACAGTGAGGATGGACAATGTAGCCTTAATATGAGTTCTGTTTTTAAAAAATGTGTGTGGCTTGTCTTAGTTAGGGTTTTAGTGCTGTGAACAGACACCATGACCAATGCAACTCTTAAAAGGACAACATTTAATTGGGCTGGCTTACAGGTTCAGAGGTTCAGTCCATTATCAGCAAGGTGGAAGCAGGGCAGCATCCAGGCAGGCATGATGCAGGAGGAGCTGAGAGTTCTACATCTTCATCTGAACTCTGCTAGTGGAAGATTGATTTCCAGGCAGCTAGGATGAGGGTCTTAAGACCACGCCCACAGTTACACACCTACACCAACAAGGCCACACCTCCTAATAGTGACACTCCCTGGGCCAAGCATATATAAACTATCAAATGGCTACTTTGATTCATGTGCTGTGACTTGCTTAAAATCCCCTTGTGGCAAATTCAGGTTTTGCTCCAAAAGTTTCTGAACCTAAATTGCTTTCATGGCCACACGGGTGGTGTCTTTGGGGTGTGAATGAATGGTGTTGGGTCAGTTGAGAGGCATGAGTGGCAGTCTCATGTTGTGATGACTGTACAGGTCACTTGGTGACCATCACGTCCATGGCCGACCCACTCCGCTCTTAACACCTCTCCTACCTGCATTAAAAGTATTGCTCTTTCTCCATGGATGACATTTCCTTACTGTCCATGAGAACAGGGCGCATTGCGTCCTTTTAGAGAATAGATTAGATATCAGTCTTCAGGCTTCCTGCAGTTAAACAGAGATCACAGATGCTTAGTCAGGGTTGACAGTGATAAGGACATTTATTTATTTATGTATGTATGTATTGATTGATTGATTTTGGTTATTGATTGATTGATTGATTTTTGAGGCCCTGGGGTTTGAACCTGGGACCTCACACCCCCACTAACATTGTGCCAATTTCATCAGCCCTTGACATCTTATTTTGATTTATTTTATACAATGCTTTCTGATTTGCCAATGCACCGTTTCCCATTTTGCACCGGTCAATCCTCCCATTTTTCTGCCTTCCTTCCAAAAAGAAAATAAATACACCAAGTTCAGTTTGTGTTGCCCATATACTCAATGGAACATGACTAAACCCTCAGTGACTAGCCCCGTAAAGATAATTAACCCAGTCCCCCTCCCCAGTCCCCACTAGGGAACTAGTCCCCCCATCAACTCTGAATCTCAGCATCTTTATCACAGTTTTAAAGGACCCTCTTCAATGGCTTCCAGGATAGCCTAGTGATCTCTTTTGCCAGTCTTCCTTTTAAAGTAAAAGATACTTTATTTTTTCACATCACCCTTTTAAAACAAAATAAACATGATAGAATAGTTCTTTCTCATATATCTCTTATAAGTGTATATGCCATAAAATGAAGAATGTTATTTTTATGTCTAAAACTGAGTATTATACAATATACATAACAAAATATTTTATATACAAGGTAGTATATAAATGTTGCAAATTTAAACAAATTTCTTTCAAATGCTTTCTAAACGTTTTTTTCTTTCTAGAAAGTGATGTGCTTACTGGCTGCCCTGGTCAGTGGTGGCCCTATGCAGGCCACTGCTATAGGATCCATAGGGAAGAGAGGAAGATCCAGAAATATGCTGTACAAGCCTGTAGGAAGGAGGGTGGTGACCTGGCAAGTATCCACAGCATCGAGGAGTTTGACTTCGTCTTCTCCCAACTGGGATATGGTGAGAAACATCCCTCTGACTTTGAGCTCATCTTGGCTGGCCCCTCTCCACCCTTATCTCAAAAATATAACGATAAATGTTCAGTTTAATAAATTTAAATTGATAGTTGATTGACAATATAGATTTAAGTAGATGGTACTTCTGCCAATAAAGATTTTATAGTAGTTTAAATAATTGTATCATTAAGAAATTTAAAATGTTATCTTTATGGGTAGTTTTCAATATTATTTTCCCACATAGCTGGATTTGAGGATATCTGTGTTTAAGTTGGCCACTATAAAATTTGGAATTGTGTGTGTGTGTGTGAGTCTGTGTGTGTGTTATATGTGTACATTTTGGTCTGCTAGTCCCTTTTTTTTTCTCAGTAAGGCCATTATTATACTTCACAACAAACATCTGTAAATAAACCTCCTCATACTTGAGATTTTGTTTTCCTTACTGGGCTGTCACACAGATTAAGAAGTGAATGACTGCAAAATGCACTGCCCTAAATCTTTGAGAGACATTGAGAGGCATGAGCGGCAGGCTCATGATGTGATGACTGTATAGGCCCTTGGTGACCCTCATGTCCATGCCTGTCCCACTCATTCACTCCCAAAAGACACCACCCGTGTGGCTATGAAAGCAATTTAGGTTCAGAAACTTTTTGAGCAAAACCTGAATTTGCCCCACAAGGGGATTTTAAGAAGTTTCTCAATTTTAGGTCTATACTTATAAGAATGCATAGAGACCGGTAAAGGCCTAGAAATAAGATTCTAGATGAGCCGAGTGACCCTGGAGTGTTTGTTCTGATGAAAAGCAGGCTAAGAGGCAGAAGGACAGGCCCTCTGAGGACTTGCTGATGAAATGACATCCCTTTGCCTCTGTCACTGATGAGGCTACTGAACAGCTGCAGCTCTTCCCAATTTCCACCCAGCAAAATAAGAGGAAATGGATGATGGTGGCGGGCGGCCTGGCTTTCTGACACATATTGCCTGAACAGTTACCAGGGTGCAGGGGAAGAGAAGGTATTTAACAAATGCATGAGAGGAAAATAAGACAGCAGGAGCAGAGAAAGATGTGAAAAGCTTGCAAACACTATGTTTCCTAGCATGAGGGTCCAGTAGAAACCATTTGCCTCTGAGGATATGACCGAGTATGGTCTTGAGGCTCTGAAGGGTGAGAGATACATCCCCATAAGCTGTAGAATAAGGAGGACTTCCAGAATGAACACATAACTGGGTGCTTCTTGTGTGCTTTCTTTGGCTCTTTTTCTTCTGTTTGCTTGCTTATTTTCTTTGTTTTTGTTTTATTATTACTCTTTAAATGTGTGTCTACTTTCTAAAAATAAATAAGTAAACCCTGAGTTTGGTGGCGCTCTTGTAACTCTGGCAGTGGGGAAATGGAGATATGCCAGTCCCTGATGGTTATTGACCTGTCAACTTGGTGGACGTTGCAAGTTAGTTGTTAGAGCCTGGAGAAGGACATTTGAGATTGTCCCTTGGCCATACGTGTCCATGATATCACACACACACACACACACACACACACACACACACACACACACACACACAGGAAAATAGACCTTGTAACATGTGAACAACTTAACTTTTCTGTGCTCACCTATCGTGGGAAACTCAGATTAACTGATGGAATTGTAATCTCAATGGGAGTATTTAACAGTCACTCAAGCTTACCATGACCTGTTGGGAAGCTTGGTATGTACCAGTGCTGGAAGCAGGTTAGTTAAGATGCCAGAGGGCTGTCCATTCTACTCTCTGTGACATGACAGCCACAGCAGAACCATGTATTTTTATTACTGTAATTATTTGTAGAAGTTGGATGACCAGTTTCAATTTAGCCTGAGAACAAATGAATGAGCTAGAGAGCTTTTCATTGGGGAAAGAAAGGAATTATGGGGCCTGGAGAGATGACTCAGCTGTTAGAGCAGTTGTTACTCTTACTGAAAACCTAGGTTTGGTTCACAGCACCCAGATGGCAGCTCACCACCATTTTTAATACCAGTTCCAGAAGATCTGATGCCCTTTTCTGATCCTAGTGGGTACTGTACACCTGCTAAAGAGACATACATGAAGAAAAAAAACTGACATAAAAGAAAAGAAATCTTAAAAAAATAAAAGTTGCTAAAAACATTTATAATATTTTAGTACAGCATTTCCTTATTTAACAGAACACAATAATCTTAATAAAAGTAAAATATAAAATGAAGACTATTGCTTCTAAATAAAAATTTTTCAAAACAAAATTAGTTAGGTGAGATAGAAGCTCTAATATTAGTCATGGAAATAAAGTACAAAGTAGATACTATGGAGCCCAAGGATGGAAGGAATAAACTCCAGTTCATACATTTTGTTTAACTGATTTATGAAAATTGATTTAACAGCTTGAAACACACACACACACACACAGTGTGTGTGTGTGTGTGTGTGTTAGTAGAATTGTAAGCTATCTAACAGGAAAACAGTTTAGTAAGAAAAGTAGACATAGGAATGACATAATAAAGTCTAATTCTTTGTAAACTAATAAAAAAATCAAGGAAATATACACAGAAAACTCATATGTACCTGCGTAACTTTATACTGTTCTTTATCCTAAAGTTCTTGAGGGTATGGAAGGTTTCTTTGAAGCCTATGTTTGTTATTCAAAATCTCCTGATCTGCCAACTCAAGTGAAAGGAAGAGGGGGCCATCCTGGAACTATCTCCCATGCTTCAGGATGCTGGAAACATCTGCTAAAGCTGGCAAAAGGCCACTTGAGGACTTCTGCAAAAATGAAGTTGATTGACAGCTTTCAGGAGGAAGAAAATCAGCCACTTAGCATTTTCTACCAAATGCCATCTTTATAATTCTTTGAAGTGATTGGCTTTTACTGGTCAAAGACGGGAATCAAAGGCTAAAATGCCATTTCCAATTAAGGAAATTAAACAGATTCTGAACTGTATAGCATTTAATTTTTAAATTTGGAAATGTTTCTTTTGTTGCCATGAAACCTGAGATCTTCATTCACTACAAATTTGTTCCATTATATATTTGACTATCATTGATTACTATATGTGTGTGTGTGTGTGTGTGTGTATGATACTGTAGTTCCAGAAGTATAAGTTATTTGTAACAATAACATTGATTCACAAGATTGGGGTTGCTCATTTCATTTTTAAAACTCCTGTAAATTATAATATTGTAGCTAGAAATACAGTCGCATTTACAATAGAAAGAAAATATTAAATAACCTAAAACTGACATCATAGTATGTAGTCAGTAGGTATCTACTGCATATAGATTATCTTTTATAGCTCTATAAAAGCTCTATAGATCAAGCTATCTATCTTATGATCTTCTTACGTATAGATAGCTCTATAAATCAAGAGAGCAGAGCTGAGTGGGCCAGCCCAGCACCCTTTCAAATCCTCTGCCGGCCTTTGGAAAATATACTCTTTTTGTATTTGCGTCTTACTTTAAGAAAGCCGTACTTAGGTGATTCTCTTCCTTTGTAGAGCCAAATGATGAGCTGTGGATTGGTTTAAACGACATCAAAATTCAAATGTATTTTGAGTGGAGTGATGGAACCCCAGTGACGTTTACTAAGTGGCTTCCGGGAGAGCCAAGCCATGAGAACAACAGGCAGGAGGACTGCGTGGTGATGAAAGGCAAGGTGAGGCGCTCGCTCTGCTACTGTCAGACAATGGTACCACGACCTCCTTTATCTGCCTTGATTGTTATCTGCTGAGATGGATTCTGTTGTTGATTGAGACTTAAGTTGCATGAGAATTTAGATTCAGTTTTTGGAGTGTCTCATTATAGTCTAGCAAAGTCAAGAAGACCATAAGATAAATAAATGATATAAAAGTTTGGCTGAAAGACACCATTACATGTAATTAAAATGGTATAAAAGGATAAAGGAGGAGGGGGGATGGGATGGGGGCTTCTAGGGAGGGGAAATAGGGAAAGGGGATGACATCTGTAAAGTAAATAAATAAAATATCCAATAAAATAAATTTTAAAAAGATAGCATTAAGTAATAACTAATAATACTGTCTGCTGAATTCTGAAATTATATATATGAATGAATACATATGGATGTATGTGTGTGTGTGTATATATATATATATATATGAGATATATATGCACATGCTGTATCTGTATATAGCACTATTTTGAACATATTTATGTATACATTTATACATGTATTATGCAAATATGTATGTAAGCATGTGTGCATATATATGACTTGGTTCAACAATTTAGAGCTTTGCACCTTCTACTGGTTGCTCCTGGCCTGTGGTTCTGGTCCATTGTGGCTTCTTCTTTTTCTCCATCCTCTCTTCTCCTCTCACCTTTCTCCTCTCCTTCTTCCTGCCCCCTTCTCTTGAATCCCCAGTCCCACCTTTCTCCTCCACTGCCCAATGACTGGTTCTAGCCTTTTATTGACCAGTTAACTTGGGGAGAAGGTTCACATGACATCACCTGAGTATGTAATGGTCTGCTCGACTGGGGGAAACCACTCTTGAGGAAGCAGAATTAACATTAAGAGTGCAAGCAGAATGAAGCTAACCCACTACACATATTGGTTTTGAATATTCAATATAAAGAATCACATTAGTCCTACAATCTCTTTACATTTGTACAGGTAGAGACAAATATACTGCTAACATGTAAGATATGAATTTACAATTTGTTTGTAGATGCTAGCTTCCCCTAGCTAGCATGCATAAAGCCCCAGGTTCAGCACTGGAAGGAAACAAATGTACCAAGGTCCTAAAATAGATAATCATTTGTTTTTCTTTTTTCTCTGTAGGATGGATACTGGGCAGATAGAGCTTGTGAGCAACCACTGGGCTACATCTGTAAGATGGCATCACAAACTCATGCTGTAGTACCAGTGGAAGCAGAAAAGGGCTGCCGGAAGGTGAGTACAGACCATCCACAATGGTTTAAGATAGACATTTGGTACAGCTGGCTTTGTTTTGTATGAGGCAGTGCCTGCTTATCATCAAAGGCCAGTGTTTGAACTGTGTACATATTCAGTGTCTCACTGTGTCTGATAACTCCACCCTTCTTGAAGGTTTCTTGGGCAGTCTCTGGTTAATGGGGAGGTGCATGCACTCCTCGACTCCATTCAGAGTGTCATGAGAACTGAAACACAAATAGAAAATAAAATGAAACACTTAAAAGAGCCTGGGCTGGGAGATGAGATGAAGACAGACTCATGAGAAGTTGCTGTGCAGGAATCAGGGAGTCTGAGATCCTCTGGGCAGTTAACAGCATGAATAATTGTGAATGCTGACACACTGATAGCAAGCCATTATTGGCTACTTTCCTGCTTACCGTGTTTTAAATGAGCTTTCTTCCAGAAGGGGAAACTTTTCAGGACATCACTACAGTACGAGGCAGGGCACCTAGCCTTCAACTTGTGCTGAGAAACACTGTTAAATAAAATTACACCAACTCAGTGTATGCACCTTATCGGCAGAGACACACTGAGACATAAATGAAAGGTAGGTTGATGCTAACTAGCTAACTAGATAGGTAGGGATAAGTAGAATGTCGACAGAGTCAGAGAGACAGACACACAGAGACAGAGGCAGATACAGAAATGCACAGACACAGAAACACGCAGAGTTCTAGGAGGTTAAAATAAATTATATTATAAAAGACTTCTAGAAGCCACAAACATAATTTTGTAGGCTTATGGCTATTGTTTTCCCATCTGAGGGGTAGCTCATCTTCCCGTTTTGTACTTTCTCACTTCTCCTGAATTTAGGGCAGAGTTGAAAACTAATGGTCTTTTGGTAGCATTTCCAGTGCTATGCTGTGGTCACATCATCTGATAACAAATACTGAAAGATAGGAATATATGACTCATAACAGCTCATGGGGCAAATACACTGAGAAGAAAAGCAGCAGATAACAGAAAAATCACAGCATCTGAGAGATGCATGAAGGGCCTTAACAATGGTTAAAATTCCTCCTAATTTTGCATTCCAGAAACCGAGACAGGGAAGTTATAAAGATTTCTTTTCTTTTGGTTTGTGTACATGTCTCTGTGGATACATGTGTGTGTGCTGGTATTTGTGCATGTGTACACATGTGTGTGTGTGGAAGCCAGAGATCAACTTTGGTTGTCATTCCTCAAGTACTATGTTCCATCTACTCTGTGTGTGTGTGTGTGTGTGTG